TTATACGTCATGACACCTTTTGTACGAGCACATGCGTCATTTTCCCCCTAACACTAATTTATCCAAAAAAAATCCTAGAATTACATTTATTTTGTGACAGTGGAAGTACATTTTCTTCTATGTTATATGCCCAGTAAATATTTTCTTGGTTGTTTTTCAAAAGGGAAAATACTACACCCCACCTATCCACGTATAATGCAATCCTATTATCACCCCCATTGCGCGCGCTTCCTTTTCCTCTTATTGTATATCGCCACCATTGCCCTTCCCCCTACTCGTGCACGTCTCTTTTCCATTCTCTCTATTCATTTTCTTCCACTTGATTGTTTTTACCATGTGGTGTTGTTTGAAAAGGAGCACGACGAGTAAAGCTATAAACAAAAAAAGACACTATTTAGACGTCACTCAAGCATTTTAGGTCTAATGGCCACTTGTCCATGGTTGTTGGATCAAGATCCAACACTCTACGTACCAAACTTTGTTTCCTACCTCTAAAGGAAATTTTGCCCTCAAGAATATGTGCTCTCATGTGATCCGTCGTTGGATATGATTTGAGATTCATGAAGAGTATGACATCGATAGATATTCTCCGACATAGATCTAATTGTGTATCACATGAATGCACATGCTCATAAAAGGCGTATTTTACTTTACCCTGGATCCCCTCCCTTGCCCCTACTATCCTTACTTCCTTAGCATTGTGCCTCCACTTGACCATTTATCGCTTGCCTAACACCAACAAGCCATACTTAACGAAACCAAGTGATCTCTCTACTCCTAAAACAATATTTTTAATAAAAATAGATTAGTCCTCTTTCAGCGTAACAACAATAATCGACTATTCCATCATGTTGACAAGCGTGCAGCTGCCTCTTGGAGGACCACATTTTGTAGGATGGCATCAATTGAACCATTTATGAGGATAACATTTAATTATGTGAACCATTTTTTATGGCGTGCTGAAGTGAACCTAAGAGCTTCTTCAAAATAAAGGTTCAAAGAGGAACAAAGTGCAGATTTCCTACTAAGCCAGCTTGGATCGGAGAGAGTTATGCACATGTGCCTGACTAACAGAAATGGCAAGAAAGTTGAGGCGCGGAATATGTACGATCGATCTAGTGGATAATAACTACTCACTGTCACTATAAAAACAAAAACGCCATGCATGCAACGTATGGGACTATTTCCAATAAGGCATCGTTCGTTTGTTTGGGAATGATGCCCTGGAAGTAGCCCTGGGCAAAATTAACCAAGAACCGAAAACTGAATCGAAATAACCAGAATCGAAAAATTTGGTTCCTTATTCGGTTCCTGATATTGAGGAACCGAAATAACAGAAGCGGGTATCTGAATTAACTGAAAAACCGAATTACATGAATTATACTTCACTTACTTGTATTTTGTAAGATTATGTTTGGTTTATGTGTGGTGTTTTATATTTGACCTGCTATATATTTGTGTTACTATATTGCTATTGATTTCTTATAAATTATTATTATTAAAAATTAATATAGTGTTACATAAATTTGCCTTACAACACGTATATTTATTGTTGTCTTGAGATCTTAGAAAATTCGGTTAGTTCGGTTAGAACCGAAATAACCAAAAACCGAAATTATCAGTTCCGAGAATTTTTAAGAATCGATCGGTTCCTATTTTCTAAGAACCGAATTTATTTAAAAACCGAGGAACCGACCGAAACCGAACCGAGAACCGAATGCCCAGGCTTACCTGGAAGGATTCCACAAGGAATACTAGGCTTATTTACGTAGCCTTTGATGAGGTGGAATGAATCCTGGACAGGAATCCGCCAAAACGAACGAGCCCTAAATAAAATGCAAGACGATTGTTCATAAACAAGCAGGAAAATAAAAAGAAAAAAGTGGATTGGAGGCGTCACCATCCATGTATTAAACCTGCTGGGCATCGCCCTTTAATTGCTGTTTGTTAGTGTGAACAGATTTAGCTGTGTTGATGAGTCTGTTGCTTTCACATCTCGGCAAACGTAGGCAGGCCCACAACCACAATCTAGGCGCGCCTTAGTTTCAGGAACCTATAACTACGTCCTCAACGCTCAACCGCTGATGCAACCGGCCGGAGACCTACAGTCCGCTAGTCCGCTGCACAAAAGCCATGATCCCAGCACGGTACACGTAGCCCGGCGCTGCTCCCATGGACTGAGCACATACGTGCTGATGAAGTGATGAGTGATGATGCCCAGGGATTCAGTTAACCAGCGACCTCAACACTGCTGTGGTACGCCTCCAGTACTGGTAGCTGCTGGTTAGCTGGTACGTGTATAATAGACTAATAGTGCATGGTGCCTGATCCCACAACTTGTATACTCCATGTCGCTCGCACGTCGCACGCGCATAGGAGTACAACAACGGATCCAGCGTCCACGTAGTGTAACCAGGCACCATATATGTACATACATGAGAAATTGTCCTGGTCCCAAGTTCCTGCGGCGTCCCAAAGGGGTCCTCTGTCCGCCCCTCGTGCCAGTGGACACGGTGGGTGACAGCAGCCCGCGGATCGATCGCAAAGGTGTGGAGATCGAGTTGTCTAGCTGATTGGCTTCTGCTGCTGCCTGCCCCATGGAAGTGTGCAGTGTGCAGTGTGCGTGCCATGTCAAAAGCTGAGGAGCGCCTGAAACTGCCTCGGTGCTTGCAGCGGCGGGGACTCGCTTGCCTGAAAAGGGATCCAAGCCCCAACCCGCACCGGGGTCATCTCCTCTCCCTCCCTGGTGGGTGTGGCCTGCCTGGTCCTGCCACGAACACAACACCACGCCGGGGCCTGGGCCTGGCCGACTACGACGTGGACACCAGCCGTCCCACGCCCACGACGACGGAGAACGTGACGGCGAAACATATCCATTTGTTCCCAAGTCCGAAGTCAAAGCGGTAGCTATCACCATTCATCGCTGCATCCTCGCGGAGTCGCGTTCACCACGTTTCAGGCTTCCAGCTGCATGCATCCATGGGTCAGCGGGCCGGGCAGCGCCGCGTACGTGTTTGTTTCTTGGCCGTTGGCGCCCGCGCCTAGCATGCGCGCGTGCACGCTGACTATTTTACCGGGCGGGAAGGATGGATCATGTAGGCATTGAAGGTACCGGTGCCGAGAGCAATGCCCCGCCGTGGCTCCGACCTAACGCGCCGCTGCTGGCTGGCTAGTTGGCGATCGGCATTGATCCACGTATAGCCGGCGTGACGACTCCGAATTCCAGCACGTGCTGCCTTGCCTACACTGCCACTGCTACTGCGAATTACAAACGGTGCCGACCTGCTGGTCCGAGCGCTCTACTGGGTAAGGTAGGCAGCACAGCAGAGCAGCCTGTAGTCTGCCGCCTTGATGAACGGCAGGCACGCCGGCGGGCGCGGCGAGGGAGGGAGGGAGGGCGGCGACCACCACCACGTGCGTGGCTGCGCCGACTCTCCAGCCCCGGCCCGGTGCTCGTTAATGCTGCCGGAAAGCGCGTACCGGTCCTTCCCCGGCCGCCCCGCCCCCCTCTCGTCTAGTGTAGTACTACTAGACAGAGTACACGTTTTGCTCGGAGAAACATTTTTTTTTTGAAACATTTGTTGTGGTGGGCCGGGCCGGGCTGGCGAAAGCCAAAGGCAAGCGGGATCGGCCCGCGCGGACGACGGGACACGGGACGGGACGGGACAGCCCACAGCCCGAGCCCGACCGAACCACGCCGTGTGGGCGTCTCCGCGGCAGAACGACGAGACGAGCAGTCGACCAAGCAACCAGCAGAGCAGGGCTCTCACGACCACGACGCGACGGGGCGCTTGCGGAGCGGAGCGGAGGGCATGTGCGCAAGCCCCCGTGTCGCGCAGCAGCTGAGACGACAACGGATGGCCGGGCCAGGGAGGACCAGGGTCCAGCCGCAGCACCAGGCCAGCAGCGCGGCGGCGACGCCGTCAGCGTCAGCGTCAGATCAAATTGATCGGCTAGCGATGGGGGCTGGGGTTGTGTGCGGTCATGCGGCCTGGCCCGTGGCCGGCATCGTGGGCCTGGACTGCGCGGCTTTTAGTGGGCCTCACTTCTTGTTTTGCTTTTTGGCCCACAGGGTCCAATAACAGTAGAGCTGCCTTTTGCTGGCCCACACAACTCCACTGAATTGTGCCGCGCCGCCTCGCGCAACCAAGTTTTCTGAATTTTAGTCCATGTATATTGAAAAGAATATCGTTGTCGGAAGTTTAAATACAGTTACTTTAGGAAAATTATAAACGCGAATAGTTTGGTTGGAGGAAGATATGAAGTAGTTCTAAAAGCTTCAACCCAAGATCATGAAATATGTGAGGCGACTAACTCACATGGTATGTCATTGCTCTATCCGTTCAAAATTGTAGGTCGTTTTAGCTTTGTTTCTTATTTCTTTGAACAAAATCATAGAAAAATCCACAAAGATCTACAACATCAAACAAGATTCATTATACACTCCCATATAATATATTTTGATATTATATTTAGTTGACATAGTAGATGTTAAATATTTTTCTATAAACTTGGTTGGGTTAGAAAGTTTTGATTTAGACAAAACAACTTATAATTTAAAACAGAAAGAACAGTTGTTTGTTGTTGCTTTTTTTTACGTTGCTCCTTTTTGTATACTCTCTTTGTAAGCCATTTTAGTTTTTTTCTAGATACATAACTTTTGTTACGTATATAATCTGGAACGTTCAGATTCAGATCTTTATGGAATCTTTATGGATTCTTTGAATCGGGTGAAACTAAGGTCAGACTATTTCTCTTTTGCAGTACAAAAATAAGAATAAATTCTGATCGTTTCTCTTTGAGAATCCGAAACATTTCATGTTGTCTAGCACTGATTCTGATAATTTTGCAAAGAAATCCGAAATGTTTCATGGTGCCAAAGGCACCCTTATAAATCTCTACAAAGCAAGTGGTGAGCAAAGTTCTCTCCTTACAAAGAGAAGGCACTAGATGTCCAGATGGATCACGGTGAGTAAAGCTCCAGTAACTGTTTGCATGAACTATCTCGCACCAGTCATGGTTGTGTGTGGCTTGAATGCTTGATCCCCTCCCGGGGTCTGTAACCAGATCGCGATGAAGCTATCTGGACTGGTGACGAATGAAACAAACAAAAGTGCGTTGCTCGAAAAACAATAACCAATTGTTTAAAGACACTATCTAAAGTTCAACTCCGTATAAACACACCATCAGTCAGGACTGAGCTACCATCTTCAGATAACTGCAACTCTATCTAGGAGTACTTCTCATGAAGAAAAAAAAAACTTTAGTCAAATGTTTATTGGTGTATATGTATGTACTCCATTCGTTTAAATTATAAGTCACTTTGACTTTTTTGATATATCTATTTTATTATGTATAAAATGGATAAATAATATATCTAGATGCATAATAAAATGGATGAAAAAAAAAATCAAAATGACTTATATTTTAGAACGGAGTAGTATATGACGTCATCAGATTCTTCCGAGGACTCCGAATCTTCATCCTCTTCTCCTGAATCTTCTGACTTTTGCTCATCATCTTCTTGCACGGCTTGATCATTGTCCGTTTTGGCCGAGTTTGCCTCCGCCGAAGCCTTGGCCTCTTCCTTTTTCCTCTTGAGCTCCTCGATCAGGTACTCAAGACTGGCATCCTCCTCGGAGCCGGCGTTCTTGGTTGTCATGAGGCACTCGGCGACGTCGGCCGGCGTGATGTCCACCTCCTTCAACAGCTCCTCGACGGCGCCGAACAGCGGGTGCGCGTCGATGCCGAGGTAGTTCTTGGCCAGGGTCCTGAACGCCTCGAAGCCGCAGTAGGACATCTCGATGTGCATGTCCATCCGGCCCCGCCGGATGAGCGCCGGGTCGAGCCTGTCCACGTGGTTGGTCGTGAAAACGACGATCCGCTCGCCGCCGCAAGCCGACCACAGCCCGTCGATGAAGTTGAGCAGGCCGGATAGCGTCACCTTGCTGTCATCCTCGTTCCTGCGGTACGATCGATTCTTCTTCTTGGACCTCCGGTCGCCCGTCAGGTCCAGGGAGCAGTCGATGTCCTCGATGACGATGACGGACATGCTGGCTGTCTGGATGAGGAGCTTGCGGAGGTCGTCGTTGTTGTTCACGATGGTGAGCTCCACGTTGCAGATGTCGTAGTTGAGGTGGTTGGCGATGGCCGCGATCATGGTGGACTTGCCCGTGCCCGGCGGTCCGTAGAGCAGGTACCCCCGTTTCCATGGCTTGCCGGTGCCCCGGTAGAAGTCCCTGTTGTTCCGGAACGCGTCGAGGTCATCCATGATCTTCTTCTTCTTGGCCGGGTCCATGGCCAGCGTCTCGAACGTCGTCGGGTGGTCGAAGTTGACGAAGCTCCACGCGTTGTCGTCGTCGTAGCACGAGAACTGCGAGATCCTGTTGTTGCTGTACAGCCTGCGGCGGCGGTTGCCGAAGAGGACCTCGCGGCCTCTCCGGCAGATGTGCGGCAGGTACTCGTCGATCACGAGCCGTCGGTGGCGTTTGTGGAACGTGAGGCGCTGGACCTCGCGCCGGCGGCTGCTGTTCTGCTGCCCCTCCCCAGACGCCTCGTCCGTCACGGACGACCACATGAACGTGGCGCCCTGGAACTCGTCGGACACGTCCTGGCCGTCGCGCATGCTGATGACGAGGCCGTCGCCCTCCTCGGCTCCCTCGTCGCGGAGCTCGCTGGCGTCCTGCGAGCACGAGGCGCTCAGGTACGCCTTCACCTCCTCGAACGTGCTGTCGCGCGCGCCCGCGGGCTGGTGCCTCAAGGACCACGGGGCGGAGGCTGGCTTCTCCGAGATGTCAAGGTTCACGTAGGGGTCGGTCGACGACGGTGAGGACCCGCCGCGCGTGGCGCCGGAGGAAGACGTTGAAGTAGGTCAGGAACAGCCGCCGCGGCGCGTACGCCGCCAGCAGCGGCGCCAGGAGGAACCACGACGAGGCGAAGTTGGCCAGCACCCACTGCCGCAACCGCGCCATCGCGCCGGGCTCCCCCAGTGACAGCCATGGCCGTCCTAGATCTTGCGCGTGCCGGCGCTGTTAATCGCCCACCGGACGTAGATTTATACGACGGGAATCGCCCGAGTTTGTTTCGAATTCTCACGCCCCTGCTAGGGCAGCGAGCATACGGGAAGATCAGAAAGTCTCCGGGTTTTTCAATTAAAAATTAAAATTAAATAAAAAGGGAAAGTTTCCGAATTTGTTAACCCATCGGCCGCACGGGTGGCGTTGCGATTGCAACCGGAGCGCGGCCGGCGCCGCCGCCGCCCGACGCCGACGGCACTGTCCACTCCCCTATGGCACTCTAGTGTTACTATGCTAGCATGGTACCGCTAGAAGAGATCCGAATGACATCACAACTCGAAAACAAATTTTTTTAGTGATTAGTAGCTTCGAAATCACAGTAGCAATTACTAATTTCGAATTGAATTTCATTTTGTCGGTACGGAGGAATGACATGTGATTGCGTTGTTATATCCGTTCCTTTATAACTGCCGTTATCACTTTCGGGAAAGTCCGAAAGTCAAATTAATCAAATATTATACAAGAAAATATTAATATTGATGGTACATAATTATTATTAATCTATTTTTAATAAACTTATTTAACGAGATGAATATTTATTATTAATCTATTTTCATAATAAACTTATTTAACGAGATAAATGTTGTTAATATTTATATAAAACAAAAAACATAAAAAAGTTTTACCTACACAGATATCATAGCGGCCATGCAATAGCGACACTTAAAAAAGAAACAGGGAGTATAGTAGAGTGACGATTTACAAGTAGGTCTTAATTCCTTTTTATTTATTGTGAAGGATGTTACAGCCCTTAGAAAATGGACATACTTCGTTACGCTAAGAGAAAGTACTAGCGGTGAAAAATTTACGATCTAAGTGATTAAGGCCCTGTTCGCTGAACTACTTCTAGCGGTGAATTCGATTTTTCTAAGTGATTAAGGCCCTGTTTTCCAACAGCAAGCATAAGCCAAATTTCAGCGACCAGCAAGCATAAGCCAAATTTCAGCGACACGAACTGAACCTAATTCATTTGATCGACGATGTTCTATGCCTGCAATTAGTGTATAACCAACATTAGGTAGAAAAGCCTAGCAAATAACCGATGAAGCTGCCACCGTGAAAATGAGGTAGTGGTGGAGGCACCTATTTCCAATCTATAGCTGTCAGAAGAAAAGTATGGAGCGAGGCAGAGACCAAAGGCAACCACCAATGCAAATCAGCAATAACGAAGCACAGATGTAACCAGAAGTTGCCACTCGCTGTCTCAAGGAAAAAGCAAATATCCCAGTTGATCAGTGGGTAACAAGCATGGCAGGCAGGATGTGAGCAAACAGTCGCTTTAAAATCAGCATGACAGCATCCTAACAGCCCACCATTCTTTTCACTGTGTGCATGAACTATGAATTCAGTAAAGACGGTATTTGCCTGTGTGATGTGCCTAGTTGCTAATCCTCTGAAAGAAATAGAGGTAGCCCATTTCCTTGGGCAGGTCAACAGATGCTGCGACCTTGCTGTCGTTGAAGATTGTCCACCTCCCATCTTTGAGGACATGAGCTACGTAGTGCCCGCAGTGGGTTGAGGTGCCCATATGGCTCACGAACGCCATCAGCTTGTATCCTGTACATGTCAGAAAGCATTGTTAAGGTAAACAAATCTCAAACCAAACAAGAAAACAACTATGATGATCTAGATAGGCCCTTTCAGTTAGGTTCCAAGGGGCAAGTTTGGAATCTGACCACTATGCTGATCCAGATAGGACCTTATTTTATCTAAGTTCATATCCTTTCCATGTTTTTTCAAAGAATGTTACAAATCAAACTATTTTCTTGAAAATTTAGCTAATTTAAGTTTTGCATCTACTTTTGTGATAACATGGTGCCTAATTAGCTACCAGCAAGGCAGGCATATAGATTAAATGCCGACATTAAAGTGAACCTTTAAAAATTCAACGTGGTTCAAGATGATCATTGTGCCACTACACGGGCTAACAAAACAAGGGGTTAGTGAAACTTACTGCCACTTCCATCTGGAATGTATGCGTCATCAGCATTAGCATTGCTATTGGAAGAATCAGCAGATGCTGAGCTCGATGCTTCGGGGTGGCTGAAAATCCAGTCGGTAGCTTTCTCAATATTACCGCCCTAATACACATCAAAACAAGAGTCCCACCAGAAAAGAGATAAGAACATTGCAAGGATGATTGATAACGTTGGAATCAGGAGACAGGAATTAGAACAGATAAGCAATCGCTAACTTTCTGAAGGTTAAGAATCAAAATAGTTTACTCAGAACAACAAATCATAAAAGAAAATCTTACAGAAGCTTTCAGGGCCGTTATGGCAACATCTTCCTGAAATCCAAAGGAAACGAGAGTTTGAACGCTTGCTTCATCAACAGACAGCTCAGAAGCACGTGAATCTTTTGATATTGGGTCATTTATATCTGCATCACAAAATAATTTGATGGAAAACAGTTTCTTCTCTCAAAATTTCGACTTGGAAGTTGCAAGTTGATTATTTCATGATGAAAAGCATGATTAACTACAAAACTGCAGTGGCAACCAACCTGGATCATCCATGTGAGAGAGGAGCCAATTCATCGCCTCCTCAACTCCTGTGTTTGATGTGTTAATAGCAGCTTTCTGACAATGAAGGTAGTTGAAGCCCATGCTTGCAAGTTGGGACACAATATCCTCACTGGCAACGGGGTGATCAGGCTCGGCACTGTTGTCACCAGAACCTAAAGTGTACATTGAAAGTCACAAAAGCTGAAGAGAAAAATTTAGGGGAAAAAAAAACTAATGAATGACAGTCTGACCTCCTTCAGGTAGCAGCTCTTCCCCAGGCTGTACACCTTTGCTGCGCATATGTGTGATATCAATCGTATCTGGCACATCTATATAAACATCTGCGAAGAAATAAACTGTCAAGACCAAGTGATCCTAAATTGAAAGAAAAAAAATACCCAGACAGAACGAAAATTATTATGGAGTTGTGGGTCATGTAAGTAAACACAACTAGGAATCAGTACTAATGCTTACTTTCAGACACAGAACAGGAAATGATAAACCAGAGCTGAAATACTAGCAAGATATTGCCACTTCAGCAAGATATTGCCAATATCATTATTTGTAGATGATATTGTTGATACAAGCTGATTTTTTAATCAAATTCAGGATCAGGTCTAGTTGAACTGAGTTGTAGGTAAGGCTAAGATGGATTACTTGCTAAGACCAGCCTGAAAAATGTCATGTGGACACTGGACATGTGCTGTGCCAGCAGCTCTCTACTTAGTCTCTAATGGATTTGATCATTTGAATACCTTTATTTCAACATGCAGCATTTATGCTCAAATAAACGGCGATGGGGGTATTACCGAGTTTCTTTGGCACCCATCCTGCTTCCATTACAAATTTGCGCATGTGCAAAACAAGGTAATCAGGAAAGGTGTTGAAACCAGCAGTCCTGCATGAAACATTTCTTCCTTTAATTAAAACCCGATTCATGCTAACACGATAACAAGCAGCTATCACATAGTTCTTTAGCATCAATTCACATAAATAACACAAACATGTCAAACACCTAGTAGTCCATACAAATAAATAAAGTGTTGTCATCAGTGCATACCACCAGTGTAGAAATAAAATATGCTCTTTGATCAAGAAAACTCAATCAACAAAGGGATCAATTAATGTCAGGAGGTTTTCTGCAATTTATGCTACCTTCAGGGAAGTCAAGCATTAAAATAAATGCAAATACTAGGACTGATCAGGGAAGTCAAGCATAGGTGTGCAGATCATGAAATTAATTCATGGTACCTTCATTGGTCTGAGGTGTCATGCTTAGTTGCTAAAGTATTACACAACTACACTACATTTTGCCCTAGTTAAACTGGTCTCCAATGATTTTTCATGTACAAATGAGCTTTACTATAGCCACTGATGAACATTGATATATAAGGTTATCAATAATATCCAAATATTTATTAATTCATTGGAAACAAAACTAGGACATTGGTCAAATAGCAACAAAGCATTGTTCTTCGATACGAGAACCTTATGTCATGCTATCCTTCAAAATTGAAGAGCTCAAATTGTACATACTTAGTGGCGGTAGTCTTCGAATTCAATGCAGTGCTATAAAAATCCGGGATTTCCTCTGGCCCCGAAAAACTCGCTAAGCAAGCCTCCAATGGGACTCTAGGCCTGACAATATCCTCATTAGACCTGTTATGGAAACACAGTAATCCATAAGCCAACACTCACTAGGTACTGGATGAACTATAAATGATTGAATGCCTTACACTTCTTTTCCATCCAAGTCCATTGCAGCTTTCTTCTCATTAAAAGCTTCTAGCTGCTCTGCACATCCAACAAATGTCAAGGATCTAAAATACATTATGTTTAATTAGAAGTGAGTCAAGATTTTAAAAGCTACCTTTATTAGTTGCCTCATGCAGTGGTATGCTCAAAGAAAGAATATAGTCAGACCGTTTGTTGTAAGAAACTTTCCCAGAAGGGCATTGGACCCTCTCTTCAACAACGAACTTGAAACCGGAACAAGGATTTTGCTCATGGTTCCCAGGGTTTGCCTTCTCAACTCTGTCAATAAGGTGAAGGAAGAAGTCGAGGGCATCCTGTATGAACACATTGCAGACCGAATAAGCTTAAGACACTTATTTCAAACAAAAAACTATAGTTATTGATATAAAATAGAAAAAAAATGATCCTAAATCAGCACAAAAACGGTTGTTGTAGCTTATAAGTTGAAAAGAACATTACCTGTTGTCTCATGCTAGAAAATTCAGGATGGTTCGCGGCAATAACTGACTTAAACATGCGAGGACGTATCCCTTCCTGCCCCTATCAAATTGCACGCACAAAATAGGAAAAACAATCAGAAACAAAAGTATGTCAAAGAACCAGATTTGCTTATTAGAACACATGTGATGACTAGATAGGGCTTGTAATCTCAATAAACTAGAGGTGCAGCAAGAGTACATGGTGTTTCACTATCAGTTGAAGGAGATAAAAAGCCAATAATAAAAAAAAATTTTGGCCCGCAATAGCATTTGTACAATTGAGCAGAGCAATAGACATGTCAAAAGAAGTCTACGCAAGACTGAACCACCAAACCATCATTAGTGACATGCTGAGAACACCAGGATAGCAAAGGGTACGAACTGACAATTGGAAGCCATAACAACAAATCAATATGAAATGAAATCCATTATACCTCCTTTGCTGGTGCAGAATATTTACCAGAGAGCAAACCATGTCCTAGTTTTGTCCTATAAAAAAACAAGCATAAGAGCAAATAAATTTTGATCAGCTCGTGCATAGAAAATATAACTGCTAATTATAGCTTGAATGGAAGGTGGAACAAATTACATTTTCCTGTGAAGTGCTATATGATTGATTTTAACATCGTTTAACACTTGTGACAAGACTCTTAACTAGCATCCTGCCCAGGTGACAAGGCTTGTGTTGTCCATTGTGATGGCAGAGAAAAAAGGGTTGGCTCAATGAAATTTGATTTTAGAGGTGATCATTTCATTTGTAATGTTGTTGCGCATGTAATGCAATTATATAGCAATTTTATGACACTTTCAGCATAAGGAACAAATGATCAAATACTAGATTAATGTATTGTCTTGTTAGGCATATCTTCAGCAATAAAAACTAGAAGAAAAAAAATGTAGACAACCTATACTAAATAAACATCAACATTTATCACACATGCACATCAACAACAAAGATGCATAGATCGGTACTTCAGCAAGGCTATAAACTTACATTTGCATGTTTAGGCCTACTGTTGGATCAGCTGGTGCAGTTGCAAATGCAGCTTTCAAACTCTGTTTCTCAAAGTATCTGAAATGAAAAAAAAAGAGTAAAATAAAAGAAAAAAAATACGAATGTAACAATGTATCAAAAACAAATGTGAAAAGTAAAAGCAACCTTGATATGAAAGGATGGGTTGAAAACATGACTTGAATTATAGAAGCCATATAGCAACTGTAAAAGAGGAAGAAACAGGAGCGCTAAATTATTTATTACAAGGAATTGTCAGAAAAGAAGGGTATTTCATGAAGTCAAATCATGCTACCTATTCCCAAGATTCGCAAGACCTGTATAGCCAGGTCCAAACAAAAGTTCAGCATCTTTTCCACTTTCTTGTATTCTATTCCAGTCATAATTTGTGTTGGCATCAAGTTCTCTCTCAGCAGTAGTCATCTCAGTCTGCAAGAACAAATTTATAAACCATGTGGTCAAGCATAAAATTGCTTCTATGTATATGTTGAACAAGAAAAATACTGTATTATGCAACACCAGCTGTAACATATATCTGCCTGACGAATATTACGTTGAATGATATCTTACTCACTGTTTCCAAAAACTCCTAGAGCAATAGCATCTACTGATAATCAAAATTTTCAAGGGTTCAAGAAAACAGTTAAGAAGTTGGCGAGCATCCTACAATGCATACTCAATGTGATCTAAGCCTGGATCCTACAATCACAAAGTACTTTAGATATTTGTCATTATTATTATTCAGATCTGATTCTTCTACATTTTTTCAACACACAAAAGGCTCCATAAAACAGAGCTAAATTATAATAAGCCTTTTAGTCCATATCAAGTTCGATTAATCTAGAAAACTATCACAGATAAATCATAAATGACATAAAATTGATATAATAACTCACCTTTTGAAGTGAAGAAAAATCGATACCGAAATGTGATAAGTGCTGAGCTAATAGCGGATCTTCAACGCTATCATCTTCAGGGTATGAGAAAACATCTGAGCTGTCACAGAAAATATGGCATCAATAGGTATTTTAACAAGCAACCACAGCGATTGCATATATTAGTGAAATAAATTAAGGTGTTCAATAAAGAGAGCAAGATAAACATGTGCTGTTTTTTAGAGATTAGTGTTTGCAAAACTACTTTAAGGGCGTACCCAATGCAGAGAGCGCCCGCTGTGTGCGGGGTCTAGGGAAGGGTGTTAGTGGCAAGCCTTACCCTCGCCTGTGCAATGCGAGGAGACCGCGACTCGAACCGGGACCTTCCGGTCACAGGCGGTAAGACTCTACCGTTTGCAAAACTACTTTCCTTTAGATAAATTCTTTTTTAGTTTCCATGCCCCTGAAGGCAACTTTGGGCATTAGTTTATGACACTGCATTTATTAAGCTATTTAAATATAACAATCAAGATAATTGGGTTGAATCTATCAATATCATTTTTACATGATCCACGAAGATATTCAAAACTGAAATAATTGGTAATTGGTATAATAAGAAAACAAAAGGCTAAGTGTTTGTTTCCACACATTAAGCTTTGTAACTGAAACTAGTAACTTGCAAATACTAAGCAGCCATTTAGTTGTATCCCATTATCCAACCTTAAAGTGATAAACAGCACAACCAACCAGTGACTCATAACTATATCTATATGAATGCTTCAGCAAATAAATAGAACTGGGTAGTGGTTTTTTGTGTTTTTTCAATAAAAATCACAATACAGGTTTGATACATAGAATGGAGACAGAATTTCATTTCCTGGAATTTCCGAACCAAAAAAACAAGAAAATAAATTGTAAAAGTTCAGTTGTACAATTACCTGCTGCTTCCAAATCAGCAGTAATTGTCCCAAGCTTTACCGCAAGAGGGTATTTAGTCTGTTCATAGTGTTCAATGGCATGATTATTCCCACCACTCCCATCCCAAAGCTTCCTCCCACAAAGGATCATACCATCAGTTAAATTCAACCAGAGGTTCTCAGTTTTATCGCATTTGCTACACTTCCATCCAGTAGGAGGCACAATAACACCATTGTCTAGCTGTTGCAGGTCCATAGCATATGCACTAATGTTCTTCTTGTCAGCAACCCAAGCAGCCAATTGTTCTTTCCTATCAGCACTTTCAGCAAGTAAAACTTTATCAACCGCAAGCCTAACCTGCAAATACGCATCCTAAATTAAAGTACATACAGCTTTGGTCTTTCGCTATTTGCATAAAGGGTAAAGACTACCTTCTCTGGCAAATCAACTGACGGAAATGGAAGAGAGATAAAATCAGGTAAGATGACAATTTCAAAAGTATCGTCATATTCTGGTTCTTGATCATCAAAACCTCCTTCCACACCTATCAATTGTGGGAAAAATCATTAATACAAACCGAAACTGTCATTCAATACGTAGATTTAACGCTAGTGTTTATTAGATCCACATCCTAATATTTGTAAGCCAGGAAACACAGGAACACACTGTAGAACATCCAGTTCAATTATGAAATTTCAGATTCAGATATGGAGGACATTATAGTGTACACATACTAATAATAATAAATAAATGATGCAACAAAATTAGGAACCACCCCATAAGGCCAAAAGTACTGTAAATTCGAAAGTCCACCAGTCTTCATTTTTTTAATAGTAAACAGCATAGTGCCATACCCCGACCTTGCTTACTAAAACGGCTTCAACAACAAAGCACAGAAGGCAAATATATTCTACTAGTATTCCTGTAGTATTATGGCGACACTGCTACACAATTGACACATTTCATATGAATCCAGATGCAATGCACCCCTTTCTGTCTATCATAGTTCAACCAATACACAACAACAATTTTCTTTCGGGTTTCATCTCCATTAGAATGGCTAGATTTAACGTTGGCTCGCCACGCCTATCACAACCCTCCTCCTTTACCGGGGCTTGGGACCTGCTATGTTGAGACATCATAGTTCAACCAATAATCATGTAAAAATTAAACACACAATTCAGTTACATAGCAGACAATGAAAAGGATTTAAAGCATCATTATGTCGCACGATCACCATAAGTACAGCATACCCATTTACATAGAAGGATTTAAAGCATCATTGTGCCGCGCGATCATCATAAGTACAGCATACCCATTTACATAACAATATTTACTATCTGATGAACTGTTGGCTTCACTCAAGCTATGCAGAGCATCAAATATTTACCGCCTGAACTGTTGGCTTCAATCAAGCTAAGAAGAACACATACCTATAGCGAGGAGGGTGGGCTTCTTAAGCGGGCGATCCGCCTCGTCGGGCTCCGGCTTCCGGCGCTGCACGATGTGGAGGTACACGGGGTTCCCCGTCTTCTCGAAGTTCCACTCCACGTACTCCCTCCCGAACCCCAGGAACGAGCTCATGTCCACATACAGGCCTCCCTCTGACCTCTGCGCACACGCAAGCCACACATATTCAAGTCGCCTCAAACCCTAACCCTAACCCTAACGAATCGAGTTGGAGCTGAGGAACGGGAAGGGATGGGGGCATGGTTGTTACCGGGGTGTCGAAGGAGACGCAGCACTCGTCCTTGTGGATGCGGTTCGTGGGTTCCGGGATCCGGACCTTGTGGAGATGAGAGCGCAGGAGATCCATGGCCGCGGATGGCGGCGAGCGGCGGCGGGAGAGGGTGGCGTCTAGGGTTTTTGGGGGTGGAGACGGCGAGACGAAGAGAGAGGAAGAATGGGTGATTAGATGAGGGGGAAGCGAGTTATTAAGAGGAAGCTTGATGCGTGTAAGCTAAACCCAAGCGCTCGGCCGGCCTCCTCAACCCAAAACCGCAGCAGTTGTCCTCATTTGCGTTTTTTTTTTTTTTGTTTTTGGAATATAATTTGAAGGAAATATTCGAAAGCTTTTTGAAACATTATAGTTCTCTTGTGTTCATGCTAGGATAATTTTTCTTCGTTTGAAATTATGCAATTGTCACTCGATCTGAGAGGGCTCTTTCGAACAATTGATACGTCTGCCTCGGCAGCAGGAAAAAAAATATGAAATGAGTTGGATGGCTTGCCAAATCCTACGAATTTTTTCTTTAGAAAAAACACATGGTTGCTCACGCTCACGGGAAGTTCATTCATGTATATACATGTACACCCTTACGAACACACTCACGCATACATCTCCAAGACACCGTAATAATTGTATACAACACCCTACTTACGAACACACTCAGCCAGATTTCAAGTAGTAAACCACAGGAAAACGGAAAACGCTTCTCAAGAAAAGCATATAGATAGATTCTAGATGTAGGTTTCGGTAGTATAGTAATAATAATATATATATACAACATCCAGATTGCAGAGATATGAGAGAACTATCAAAGAACTTACGTAGTGATCTTACCTCGAACAAATTTGCAGACGAAGAAGATGATTCGACGCAGGCATAGCAAACAAGTCCATAGAACTTGTATGACCGGAGCTATAGCTGTTCTTCCTGGCATTGGCGTCGAGGAATCGGAACTGCAGCTCTACATTTTCTAAGTACGTGCGAATTGAATACGGGAATCTTGTTGCATTAGGCATCACGGGCAATGATTCCTTTCTTGTAAGTTGGGACTTGCATCTTTCTAGACTTGAAGCATCTGCTTTAGATGCAACACTACATCACACACGACACAAGCACAGATGATCCCTTGCCGAAGCCGAGTTGCAGGCTTGCAGCAGCAAAAGCTTTCGAGCCATGGCCATTTCAGATGTCCAGATAGTGACAGACATTACAGACATTTGATACTTAATATAACCCGTGTTCTAATTTCCTATACAAAAGCTAGTGTTAAACCACTTGTTCAGGGTTTACTGCATGCTACTTCCACGGCCACATGTTCAGTCAGGCGGTAGTTGAACAGTAGTCACCATCCTGAGTGCTACTGCAACACACCAGCAGCATGCACAGCTGAGCAGCTGGCAGCTGATGGTGCCAAAAGCAAAAGGGTTGGGCGTCCAACGTAGTTAACGCCAGGGCGCGCTAAGACTCAAGGCAAGTTCATCTCCACAGCGCTAAGACTCAAGGCAAGCTCATCTCCACAGCTTGACATGCTTGTCATGGCTTGTGGAAGCAACGAGGCCAGAGCTTGACGAGGCCAAGGCTGAGACGAGGCTGTCGTGCGCTGCAATGGTCATGCTCCGGTTCTCTGACATGTCCCACAGCTCCAGAGACTGCATTCAGCACAGGACCACAAGTAAGATATCTCAGAGATGAATGAAGGGTGCACAAAAATAGCAGTTGCAGTCAATGTTTTTGAGGTGTCGCCTAGTCGACAAGGCGTGGTCGAGGGCCTGGGCGTCGGGGTCGCCACGACCTCAGCGTGTATGGCGTCCGCCTCATAGGATTAGGCGTCGCCTAGGCGTGAATGGCGTCGGGCGGACGCCTACAACCGCGCCGCGGATGCCAGATGCCGGTCGTAGGGGAAGGGCGCCAAAAGGAACGCGGCCTCGCGGGAAATCGACCGCGCGCCTGCGGGAAAAGTAAGAGGCTCGGGGAATCGACCGCGCGTGCGCCCAGGTAGCCTCTTCGCGTGGAAAATCGACTGCGCGAGTCATTCACCTGCGAGTGCGGGCGAGGAGAGAGGAAGAGAGAAGGCAGCGGACGGACCTCGACCTCCGCTGGGCTACTACTCTGCTCGTGTCCACCGGCCGGCCGGCCCTGCCGTGGAGCCGACCTGCATCTCCGCTTGGCGTCCGCCCCTGCCGTGGAGCCGCTCCAGCATCATTGCATATCGCTGCTGCGGGCGAGGAGAGGAAGAGAGAAGGCGGCGGACGGACCTCGACCTCCGCTGGGCTGCTACTCTGCTCGTGTCCACCGGCCGGCTACCCCTGCCGCGGAGCCGGCCTGCATCTCCGCTTGCCCGTTCGCTCTGCCTCCTCGTGCTCTGCTCCGCATCTGTCGTCAGCTCTGCTTGGCCGTCCGCTCAACCTCCTCGTGCTCTGCTCTGCCATCCGCTCTGCATCTCCGCTTGGCCCAGGTAGTCTGAATATTGTATACTCTCTACTCTGTCTGCTCTCTGAATATTGTATCTCCGCTTGGCCCACTCTCTGCTTGGCCCGGTAGTCTGCATCTCCGCTTGGCCCACTCTCTGCTCTGCTCTTAATATTGTATGCTACATGGGAGAAGAGCTTTTGGAAAGGAAAGAAAGGAACATGGGCTTAAGAATTGGCAACAAACGAGGTATGTATGTGCTGCACTAGTATATAAAATTCTAGCTTACAACGACTTACAATGTGTGTATGGCGTCACCTAGGCGTCCGCCACAAACGCCTAGGTGTTGTGAAGGGGGCGCGGCGCCTCAAAAACATTGGTTGCAGTGGTCATGGAATTGTGCTAAACTATTATTCACTCATATATATCAGAGATACTTCATGGCATCAAATGTTCAGAGTTGTCCTTCAACAGCTGCGACATACAACATATTGATATTTTTGTGACACTTCATACAGTATCACTTCTTTTAGAAGACCGGCATTTCTCTATCCTTACTAAAAGTGGAACTAGTAGCAGTTGAAATCTAGATATTGAATAGTTGAAGGTCAGTGTATGAAGTTGAAAACCACCATTCGAAGACAGGCACCATAGGTCCATGCAATATAATTTTGGAATGAACAGTCAACAGTGAGTAAAGACATGCAAGAGAAAGTAACTTGCCTGGTAACAGCCAATGATAAGCAAGGATGGATAAGTAGGATGGAAAGCACATGAAGTGAACTTTCTCCCACTGCAGTTAAGCTCATTCACAAAGCTCTCATCGTTCAAAGACCACACCTTCACTATGTCTTTACTGACAGACACCACATATTCGCCAGTGGGATCCCAGCACACGGAATCAACACCCTTAGTGTGGCTCTGCAATTTCCAAGAAATCAGATTATCAGGGTTGCTTCAAGTGACCTCTTCTCAATAACAGGGGAACTATAGTGATTAATATATAAATTAATGCTGACTACAGTTAACAAGATTATTTTTAGATAAAGGATTGTTCCAATAATAAGGTTCCAGCCTCTGCATCAGTAGGGGCGCACAGCTAGCAAGGTGTGACTTGCAAACATATTCAAGTTAAGCAAACTGTCCTAGAGTGCACTTCAGTCACTTACGAACCTCAAATCTCCTCACGCAAGTTTGTGTCTCCACATCCAGGATAGAGACTACATTATCTCGCAAGATATCCTCCATAACGTGGTTGGAATCTCAGCTGGGTCGAACCTCCCTACAAAAGGATAGCATACAGAAAAATCCTCTTACTACAATGGCCGTGCAGCTCTCTACATGTTCAAGGAAAAAAAAAATAGAAAAACACAGGAGATAGTATTGTCACATTTGAGACAAGTTGCTGATTATGCCTGGCGATAGCTTACTCTTTTACAGCATGCTACTCACAACGGTATACATATATTAGCAATGTTTGCTACTCAGGTGGACAACTCTTTTGTGTGTTAGCAACAAGAAGAAAATTACAGGTCGGCAAAAAACTAAGTCAAGCTGAGAAACCTTGAAAATTCGGACAACATTTCCATGCTTGATGCTCCAGAATCGTATCTCATTGTCTCCATCACAAGAACAAATGAGGTCATCCTTTTTTGGGTGGAAATCAAGTGACATAACAGATGCTGAGTGCCCAGTGAATATACGAATTGAATAATCATGCTGCAAAAATCAATTCCACAGAATTAACTATGAGATATAGAAAACTGAAAAGCAGTAAAACACAAACATACTTTGCTGCAATTGCAGGGCAGGCATCTCTCATGTAACCAAATGTTTAGAATTATCATGCATGATGCACATCACCTATTAACTCCATTTCATATTAAGGAACAGATGCTATGGGCCTTCACAAAATACAATCATGAACAGGATTGCTAACTGCTTTCTTTGTGGCTTTACACCATAATCAATACACATAGTTTCAGTGGAAAAGGGCAATGTAAGGCATCCTTAGATTTCAAAATAAAAATGAGCAATGCAACATATCATTGAATGTTACTGGCAGGTGTATTAATATACCATAACTGCATTTCTCGCAAAAAAAACATAACTGCATATTACATGACAGAATGTGATCATCAAGAGAAAATTATCACATATGTGAAGCATGAACTGCAGAGTGAAAGAACCTAGAGCAAGAAAGAAAATAAATGCAATGACATATATTAGTATGTGTTAATTGACAGTTGTGCAATGCAGCATGGTGAAACACACGTCACCTGACATAAGGACATGATCATGTGGGGGGAAAAAAGGCAGGAAAACCTGGACTGATAATAACACTTACGTTAGCGGCATCCCAAACCCTCACAGTTTTGTCAAATGAAGAGGTGGCAAGGCGCGGAGTGCTTGGGCTGAAGCGCACATCAGTTATGAGCAGAGAATGCTCCTCTAGCATTGATTTTTGTTTCAGATTGTCAGCATTCCACAGGAAAACCTGCATTGCGAGATACAGAAGGTAATTAGCAATTACATATTACTACAGCATTAATGGTGATTTTGAACAAGTTTCACAGCTATCAAGTCCACTAAATAGCTTAGCAAGCACAACAACACGTCATTTTACCTTCTTATCATGACCTCCAGTAGCAATTAATTTTCCATCTGATGAGAAATGA